AGGACAACTAAACCTGTCCCTCCTCAGTAGGCTCAGGGCAGCCTGTAGAGGCATCCACCTGACCCAATGGAGAACTGTGCCACAGGGAGAGCTGAGTCTCTCTCTCCCTCTTCTCCATCTGGTTTTCCCTCCATCTCCAGGGACTGTAACGGCACTTGTCTCATGGACATCCCTATTGCCTAATGAAATTCGGGGCAGCCGCTCCATTTAAAGCCAATTGCAGCCTGCAGTGCTACCTGAGATGCCAACGCTGCCCAGCACCACTGGAGCATGCAGCCGGCATGGGCAGCACAGGACCCACAGGACAGCTTTGGCTATTCACAGCTGGTACTTAGAGGGCACCCCTGAGGGCATCTCTGGTAGACCTGGTGCTTATGAGCAAGTGACTGCTTCCCAGAGAGCCAAGGTCTGTCCCACTTCTATCGGGTAGAGGCAGGCAGTGCACAGATATGAGGCACTTCACACCAGAGTTTCCATTTATGTCATTCAGCTTGCAAACACTGCTGCTGCTTCTCATCCCCACCCGTTAATCACTCTGATGGTACTATCCAGACACAGTGATTTTTTCTGTGTCCCTGGATCACAGGATGCCCATTGCCAAAGACATTGTCAGCAGCCCATTCTCGTGCCTGGAGATCGGCCTCAGCTCCAGCACTGGCCCTCAGCTGCACCAACACCACAAATGCCCTCTGCTGTCAGGGCAGCACAGCCCAGGCCTGATTCCTTCTGGCCTCAGGAACACCAGGGCTTGCCCTCCTTGGGACCCCTTAATTCATCCTTTTGTGCCCATCTGCCATCCACGGCAGCATATCTGCTGTGATGGAAAGCCTTTGCATGCCCAGGCTCTTGAGCAAAAGATCTGGGACAAGTCTGAGTTTGGCCCTTGTGCCACAGCTGAGGTGCTGCAGCCCAGATGTGTCCCAATGCCCTCAGCCTGGGGCACAGGCAGAAGCTGGATCCCCACCGAAAGGAAGATGTGTCAGCATTAAGGAGTACACGGAATCTGTCCCAAGCTGTTCTCCCTACTCTCCCCTTCATCTGCAGTGCTGTACTACCCCTCTCCCTTACCATGAGGTGCTGAAGGTAAGTTTGCCATTCCCTCGTGTGCCACCTCTGCCTGTGGCATGGCAGGGGGGTGTCCTGGGCAAGGGTGCTGAGGCCTTCTCAGAGCACAGAGCCTTGTGGGACATGAGGGGAGGAAGGCTCGGGAATGTGCTGCAATTCCCTCCATATAACACATCCTAATGCATCCTAACACATATAATGCATCCCAGGCGCCTTTCCTGTAAAGGAAAGGTATCCCTTCAAGGAAGATGTTGTATGTCACCCAGGCAAATGGACCACCAGGGAGAGAGGCAGCCCATATCTGATGCAATTGGCCATGCTGGAGGTGATTTATGGTGATTTATGCACATTCAACAGTTTTCTACCTTGCCCGGTGCCTCACAGGATCCTTCAGTTGTGGGGTTGCTGAGGGTCGACGTGCCAGTAGCTACCCAAATGGTGCACCAGTGGCATTATGGCACCACCCAAGATTCCCTGATTCCCATATATATGCTGATTCATCAACTGCAGAGCCAAGGACTGATCAGCAAAATTTGTTCACCCTTTAATAATCCCATAGGGTCAGTGCAAACATGTAATGGAGATCTGAGGCTAACGGTGGAGTATTGTGTCTAGAATGAAGTCACACCAAATTCAATAGATCATCTATAGTTTTCTCTCCTTATACTCTTAGCTCTAAGAGCATTTAAACGATCTCTTACAGCACCTGAATGCTGTTGTCTGATCCCTTCCTGGGATCAAAAGGAGCCAGTACCTCCAGGCCAGAACACTCTCCTTGTACCCTTGGATGCAGGCCCCTAGGTCCCATGGACTGTTAAGGGTGTAGTTTGCAAAGTAACCATGGATTTTATCCCCACCCAACACCTGTTGTACCCCTGCAGAGTCCTGCCTCAAGGCACAAAGGGCAGGGAGACCTGGCTGGTGAGAGCTGAGGCCCTGTGGAGATGTCCGAGACAAAACAGCCATTACAGCCAAGGGTGACATAGAAGAGAAAGGAAAAAAGAGAACATTTAAAAGAGAACAGAATAGGTTTAGCTCTGCCTGTGACACATGACTCCTTTTGCTCTGCTGACAGCCTCTGGAGGCTGACCTACACGTAAGGAGTAGGAACAGGTTTAGTTGTCCTACATGTGGCATCTGAGGAATGGCCCATCAGACTCCCAGAGGATCAACCTCAAATTTCAGCAGGTATTTCCATCTGAACAGCTCCTGCCTGTCCTCCATCTCCACTAAGGAGCTATTGTGGCTCAGTAATTCACATTAAGGTGCCTATGTTGTGGACACCTGAACTGAGGCCTGAGGAATCCCAGCTCCTGTGGGTCTGTGGCAGGCATGGGAGGGAGCTGAGATCCCTTTCCAGCCCCAGGAATAACAACCTGCATGAGATGCCTTGACTGACTGCTGAATTCTTTCCTTACGTGGGGATGAAGGAGATCAGTCCCTGACCATGACTTCATGTCCAAACTGATACTGGGACAAGAAGATGTGATTGTTACACTTAATTGGTGTTCTGTAAGGAGAAATGACCCTGGTGTGAAGAAGTGTGTGTGTCATGGGAGGGCTGGAGCCCCAGGGAGTCTTTCAGGCTGTTTCCCAACAGGTTCCCCTGCAGCCCAGGGCCATGTGCAGGGATCCTGGTGGGGGGCAGAGCAAGGGAGGCCTTGGGCTGGGCCTCTGCTGCTGAGCTGGGCCGGGCTCCTGGGCCCAAGGGGAGCTCCTGGCAAGCGGGCAGCGCTGCAGAGAGACAGCTCTGCCCAGGAGCAGCTCCTCTGCACAGCGCAGCAGGGCTGGGGGCACTGCCTGCAGCTGGCACTGGGAGGGCAGAGAAGGGAGATAGAGGTTACCGTCTGCGTGAATTGGGGGATACTGAAAGCTCAATGGGGAATGAATGCTTGCAGCACATTACAGGGTAAGTCTGTGGCAGAAGGAAAAGGCAGATAGGCCGGGCCCTGAGTGCTCTCTTTTCACAGGCTGGCAGCAGGCTCTGCAGCCAGGTTGCTGAAAGGGGTGTCCAGGGCTGTGGTGCAGGGCAGGGTCCCTGCTGTGGCCCAGGGGCTGTGTGGCGGGGCAGGGCTTCTGCTGCCTGCCAGGCTCAGCACTCAGCCTGCCCGGGGAGCTGCCCAGGGCGCTGCGGGGAGAAGCTGCGGGTGGAAGGAGCCCCCTTGGCAGGGCAGGGTCCTGCTGCTGGTGGGAGGCTGTTACCTGGGGCAGCCTGCTCACAGCTCCACAGCACACCAAGGGAATTTCAAAGGGAATTTCACTCTCATCTTTCCTTAGCCTCTGCTTTCAGTTTTCTTTTTGGCTCAGTAGAAATAGCAAAATATAATATTATTTCCTAGAAAAGCCTGACAGTCCTAAGGCATCCTAAGGAGGTTGCCATGACCCTCATCAGGTCCTTTTCCTGCCCCTCAGCCCCGAACAGCTCCACCGCCACAGGTGCAGTGTCAGCAGGATCTGTGTGAGCTGGTCTCTTGGACGTGCCCCCAGCAAGCTGTCCCTGGGCAGAGCCCTGCTGCCAGGAGGTGTCTGCAGGGCAGAGCTGAGCACCCAGCGGGTGGGATGTGGGCTGTGAGCTGCAGGCAGGTGGCGTGGGGACAGAGACCCAGCTGCAGGCAGGCACAGCTGCAGGTAGCAGAGCCATGGGCAGGGAGTGAGAGGGAGCTGCTCCCAGTATCTCCATGGCAGAAGGGATTTGGGCATCTCCCTGCCATCCTTGCACTGGAGACACTTCCCTGGAGCAACCCCCTGCTTTCAGTTCTCTCGCACCTTCAACCTCCAGCCATAGTGTCATCAGGACTTCTGCTGGGCTGCAGGCTGCCGTGCACAATGGCACAGCTCTGCCCTAGCAGCTCTGTGTTGTCTAGCAGCCCCAAGGAGAAGACACATCAGTCCTAAGGCCATACAAATGCTGCTGCATTGCTATATGTAGGCAGCTGTTATGATCCCTCTCTGTCCCTGGAGAAGAGCAGAGAGCTGAGATCCTCCTCAGGTACGATGAGATGGGTGAGGGGTTTGGAGATCTGCCCTTTGAACCTGGATTCCTCTGCTCTCAGCAGAATCCTGGTTGTTTTCAGGGGAACACCTGAGTGTGACCATCCTCCAGAGGTGCCCACACAGGGCAGCTGAGACCAGGACTGGTGGATACAGCAGCTGTCCTCATTCTGCCTTGAGGGACGGTCCCTTTGCCTCCCAGGACCCCAAGATTTCCATAGGTGGGCAAAGCCAATTGCCAAGGTTTTATGCCTTGAATACGCTCCTCAGGCGTGGGGAGACAAGTATAAAGAAACAAACCAAAACATGCAAAAACCTTTGCTCTTCATTTGGATTAATTCTGAGAAAGAATAATGACAAACTCTTAGTTTTGCAAAGCATACTTCATCTAAGACCAAGCCATGTTCTATTTGTATACTGCTCTAGGGCAGGACCATCTCCTGCAGAGTCCCTTGACTCCTGAAGTATCAGTTTAAGATCAAAGAGAGCAACAGCCTTTCCCAAAGTGAAGAGGCAATTTTTTTCCAGGTTACTACAAGAAAATGAGTAGGTTTTCCTTACAGAGGTCTACCCTAGCATTTAACTCTTTTTGATTCTTGGACAGGCCTCCCTATTCAGAGGAGGCAGATCTCCATTCCCGGGAGGATCAGATGTCCAACAGCAGCTCCATCACCGAGTTCCTCCTCCTGCCATTCGCAGACACACGGGAGCTGCAGATCCTGCATTTCGTGCTCTTCCTGGGCATCTACCTGGCTGCCCTTCTGGGCAACGGCCTTGTCCTCACCGCCATAGCCTGCGACCACCGCCTCCACACCCCCATGTACTTCTTCCTCCTCAACCTCGCCCTGATTGACCTGGGCTGCATCTCCACCACTGTCCCCAAAGCCATGGCCAATTCCCTCTGGGACTCCAGGGTCATCTCCTATGCAGGATGTGTTGCACAGGTGTTTCTTCTTCTGCTCTTCCTTGCTGCAGAGTACTCTCTTCTCACTGTTATGTCCTACGACCGCTATGTTGCCATCTGCAAGCCCCTTCACTATGGGAGCCTCCTGGACAACAGAGCTTTTGCCCAGATGGCAGCAGCTGCGTGGGGCAGTGGGGTTCTCACTGCTCTGCTGCACAGTGCGCATGCATTTTCAATACCTCTTTGCCGAGACAATACTGTGGACCAGTACTTCTGTGAAATCCCTCAGATCCTCAAACTCTCCTGCTTGGAATCAGACTACTGCAGGGAAGTTGGTCTTGTTTTTATTGGTGACTGTTTAGTATTTGTCTGTTTTGTTTTCATTCTTTTTTCTTATGTTCAGATCTTCAGGGCCGTGCTGAGGATGCCCTCTGAGCAAGGCAGGCACAAAGCCTTTTCCATGTGCCTCCCTCACCTGGCAGTGGTCTCCTTGTTTCTCAGCACAGCCATGTTTGCCTACCTGAAGCCCCCCTCCATCTCTTCTCCATCCCTAAACCTGGTGGTTGCAGTTCTGTACTCGGTGGTGCCCCCGACACTGAACCCCTTCATCTACAGCATGAAGAACCACGAGCTCAAGGGTGAGGTTAGGAAAGTGATTTTATGGATGTTTCTGAATAATGATAAATTTCCCCTCTTTTTCCAGAAATGACTTAACTTGGTACCTCTGTGCGGGCCTGGTTCTTCTTTCATATCATTATTTTTATTGTAACTTTGGTATCATTTGCATTTATTATGCTCTCAGAAAAATATTCATCCTAATTCTCCTGAGGAATGACACTGCTCTGTTTACTCTTGAAGCTCTATAAATGTATGTCTATCAGCAAATCAAAGCTCATTCTTATATAGCATGTGAAAAAAAAAAAAAGGCATCTCCACAGCGTGTTGCCTGCAGGCTTGTCTTTTTTTTTTCAAGGCTGTTGCCAAGATCAGGGCTGTGCAGCTGCTCCCCAAAAGGCTCATTGCCATGCTGTGAGTAGTGAGAGACCATGGGTACAATTTAGGAACACCCTGTTGTATCTAATGACAGCAGAAATGGTGAATGGTCACTGAGGTACATAGCCACAACTGTCCCATATGGGGCTGGGCAGAAGACAGCATCCGGGACAGGAATGTGGAGCTGTGTGGAGAGCCTAGGAGTTCTCCATGGGTAGCGTGTTCTCAGGGTGGGCAAGGAATGGAGCCTTACAAAGAGAGAAAATGCCCAAGATCTTGTCACCAAAACGGGTACCGCAAAATTTAGATGTCCTCAAGCAAAGAAGAGCATCACAATTCTTGTGCAATTCATCAAAGAACCAGCACGCACAGGAAGGGAGGATGGAGAGGGATTCCTGTCACTCTCACAAAGTACCACCAGCTAGAACTAGAAAGACACCTGGAAACCCCCTAGAGTCCTTGGCAACATCCATTGCTCTTTCTGAGCACCTGCCAGAACTACACACCATAAAAAGCAGGATTAACAACAGTGATCCCAACCTAGCTGGGTCTACTTCCCATGCTGTGCAGCTCAGCCAGTGTGCAGTCATCTCTGGGGCACCACAGCCTGCTTGGTCTGCTCATAGCTCCACCAGCTCAGGGCCCTGGGGAGCATGGGGAGGTGGCCAGAAACATCTGGAGAGGTGAGAGGAGGGATGGGGAGAGACCAGATGGAAGTTGGCCTTGGCTGGAAGTTGCCTAAAATACTGGTGCTCACCTAATCAAGACAAGGTCTGGACTGTGGGTACCCTAATGCGTGCTCATGAGTTAGAGTAGAAGATGAGCCAGAAGTCCGCAGTTTCCTGGTGCTGCACTAGGTTGGGAAGTGGCTGAAGAAGGACTGGCGCCCTCTATTCTGCATCTCATAACTCCATAATCTTTCCTGAAGGGTGGCATCGAAAGCCAAGTCTGGGGCCCTGTGCCAGGGCTTCCACTGATGGAAGCGTGACACAGCAGCCATACCAGTTTGCTTCTGTTGCTCAATCTAGCACACATCCATGTGACAGTCTCCTCCAACCTGTGTGCTGAACCTCAGCCCCAAAGTCATCAGCAAGTCCTCCGCTTGGGTCCACCCCAGGGACTGGAGTGCAGCTGCGACCACAGGAAGGACGAGCCCTCTCCTTGGGCCTGTCCATGGCTGGATGCCTCTGCATGCTGCCCAGGAAAAGAGAGCGTATTGATAATATGCTAAGGCCCCTTTCACCTTCTCTGTGTCTGTGGGGCCCTCAAGAAATGTCCCTCAATCCTGAAATCAGACCCAGCTTCTTCTTGCATCAGGAGCCTGGAGAAATTGCGCCAAACGTTTCAGCCCTGTTGTGCACATAGGCAAATGCCCCGGCCCTCACTGCCCTTCTGCTTTAGCAGCCTCCCCCCTTCACCCAGCCCTGCCCCAGCCCCAGCATATCCCTCACAGGGGTTCACAGACAGCCCTGCCCTGGGGCTGGCTGGGCTCTGGGCCTGGAGAGGGACCAGGCTGGGCTGGCTGTTCCCTCGTTACAGGCCCTGAGCCCAGCAGGAGGATGGGAGTGCTCACATTTCAGTGATGGCCCTCCCCAGACTGAGGTGGAAGGCTGGTGCTGGGAACTGTGAGGGGTTGGGGCTGGTGGTAGCTTTCTCGGGCAGTTTCTCCTTTTTGTTCATGCTACAAGCTGGGCTGAATCTGTGCCCTGGGACACTCTGCTCGAAGACACTGTGGGTGTAGAGATAGTTTTTATTGTCTGACCACACGCATGGTAAGGAAATTTTTCATAATGTCCAGATTGAACCGCCCCAGTACAGCTTTGTGCCATTCCTTTGTGCCTGAGGATGACTTGAATCCTTTTCCAGACCAACCTTCCCTGTGCCTGCTGGGTCCACATTTCCTCCATGGAGACCGCAGACATCTCATTTGCCTGTAGAAGCCAAGATACCAAAAAGACGCTATGAGAGAGTCAGCTCAGTCCCAGTGGCACACATATTTTATAGGGGCTACAGGGAAAGAGAGCAAGTTGATGTTTCAGATGAAATGAGATGAAGCCAAATGTGTGTCGGAACATCGCAATTGTACTTAACAACAACAACATCAAAATCAATGTCAACATAAACATAAAATAAATATATATAATATAATATAGTAACAATAATAATAATAATACAATGCATAGGAATGTACTGAATATACAATGAATATACTGTGAGTCAGTTGTGGAGACAGATGAAAAGTTTACCAGCAGTGAAAAATGTCAATGAAATCACTTTGTTCAGTGCAACTTTCAGCTCCTGGTTTCTCATGCTGTAGATGAAGGGGTTCACTGCTGGGGGCACCACTGAGTACAGAACTGCCACCACCAGGTCCAGGGATGAGAAGGACAGGGAGGGGGGCTTTAGGCAGCTGAAAAAGCCAGTACTGAGAAACAGGGAGACCACTGCCAGGTGAGGTAGGCATGTTGAAAAGGCTTTGTGCTGCCCCTGCTCAGAGGGCATCCTCAGCACGGCCCTGATGATCTGAACATAGGAGAGCACAATGAATACAAAACACCCAAAGTCGATGAAAACATTACCTACAAGAACCCAAACTTCACTGAGGAAGGACTGTGAACAGGAGAGCTTGAGGATTTGGGGGATTTCACAGAAGAACTGGTTCACAGCATTGCCTTGGCAGAGAGGCAGGGAAAATGTATTGGTAATGTGCAGGACAGCATTGAGAAAAGCAGAACCCCAGGCAGCTGCTGCCATCTGGGCACAAGCTCTTGTCCAGGAGGGTCCCGTAGTGCAGGGGCTTGCAGATGCAATGTAGCGGTCATAGGCCATGATGGTGAGAAGAGAATACTCTGCTGAAAACAAAAAACACAATGAGAAAGACCTGTGCAACACATCCTGCATAGGAAATGGCCCTGGTGTCCCAGAGGGAATTGGCCATGGCTTTGGGGACAGTGGTGGAGATGCAGCCCAGGTCAGGAGGGCAAAGTTGAGGAGGAAGAAGTACATGGGGGTGTGGAGGCGGTGGTCGCAGGCTACGGCAGTGAGGATGAGGCCATTGCCCAGGAGGGCAGCCAGGTAGATGCCCAGGAAGAGCACGAAGTGCAGGAGCTGCAGCTCCCGTGTGTCTGCAAATGGCAGGAGGAGGAACTCGGTGATGGAGCTGCTGTTGGACATTTGATTCCTCTGGGCATGAGGACCTGTCTGAGGAGGGAAATACAGCAAAATGTTAGGCTCAGCCCTGTGAGCAAAACCTACTCTGTTTCTTGTTAAACCTCAGAACTGCTGCTTCCCTTTTAGGAAAACCTCTGCTGCACATTCCTTGGTAGAGCTCTGGTTTATGCTACCAGAGGGTGCCACTGGGAGCAAGGGACTCTGGAAGTCCTTGGCATTACTGCTGCACTCAAGTGAAATCTTGCCTGAGAGGCAAGGGCTCTGTCCCTTAGAGCAGAGTAAGGGCAGCTATCCTGTCCCAAAGTCCTGGTTACAGCTGCCCTGGACTGGCACCGCTTTGAGCTCAAAGATACCATCATACCCAGGTGTTCCCTTAGAGAAGAGCCTGCACACTGCGCAGAGCAAAGGAATCCAGTTTCCAAGTGCAAATCTCTCCTGTGGCCTTGAGGATGGTCTCAGTTCTCCACGTGTAGCAAAGAACACTGAGGGATCACTGCAGCTAACACATAGAGATTTCCAGCAGCATTTCCACGCCCTTAGCAGTCAGGTGTCTTCTCCATGGATAGCACAGAGCTGTGATGGCAGAGCTGTGCCCTGGAGGGGGGCAGCCTGCAGCCCAGCAGAACTCTTGCAGGAAAAGTTTGAATGCGCTAAAAACAATGCAACCTGAAGACAGAGTAAGCTCATTCACAGCCCCACATACAGCCCTACATGTCATGACAGGACATGGAGGCTTCTCCTCAATTCATGTATCTGCATGACGGAACATGCAGCATTCTGAGCTGCACCTGACTTATTCCCTACATCACTGACTCCAAAGAAGAATCATGAACAAGTTCCCATGCCAATATCTCTGGTGGTCCTTGCTGGGGGAGCTGAAGAGACCAAGGCTGTACTGTGGAAGACAGCAGCAGTGCAGGGATGGCAGAGAAATTTCAAAAGTCCCCTTTCCTTGTTTCTTGGAGCAGCTCCCTCTCATCCCTGACCAGGGCTCTGCTGCCTGCAGCTGTCCCTGCCTGCAGCTGGGTCTCTGTCCCCACGCCTCCTGCCTGCAGCTCACAGCCCCCATCCCACCCGCTGGGTGCTCAGCTCTGCCCTGCAGACACCTCCTGGCAGCAGGGCTCGCCCAGGGGCAGCTCGCTGGGGACATGTCCTAGAGGCAGGGACCCTATCTGCACCACAGCCCTGGCCTCCCCTTTCAGCATCCTGGCTGCAGAGCCTGCTGCCAGCCTCT